CCCCCCCCCCCAGCCTGTCTTCGCGGTCACGTGTAGCGTGTCGCCATCCAGCCTTCCACTCGCGTGCGTGTAAGTCCAGTTTGAGCCGCCAAATGCGAGTATATATGCAGTGTTTTGTGCCTATCTGTTCTGCACGTCAAAGTCCTTCATCTTTGTCAAAATGGCCCCAGTCGCTACCGCAGACAACGCTTCTTCCAACGGCTCCGCGCTCAAGGGGCTCGCGGCGGCGAAGGTCTTCAACCCCTTCTACTCGCCCTCCGCCGGCGACGAGAACGACAAGGACTACAAGTATGCCAACTACAAGGTGCGCGCACTGGGCTTCTGATGCAGGCCGTCGATCTTTACGTCTAGCAGCCGTACTTTCCCGACTTGAAATGGGAACCTCTCGGCGAGCAGGCCGTCACCGACCGCGGCCTATTCGCCGATTCAGACAAGAAGGCCCTCTTTTCTGCCGCCGCAAAGGTGCAGCACCTGACGCCCGCAATCGGGACAGAGATTACGGGCCTCGATCTGAGACAGCTCTCGAACACCCAAAAGGACGAACTGTACGATGTCCGATCCGTTTATACCGATACGGGAACTCACCGCTGTGCAGGGCCCTGCTCGTTGCGGAGCGGGGCGTTGTTTGTGAGTGGCTTTGGACCGATTTCTGCAGGCGGTGGCTGATCGCCCCATCTTGGTAGTCTTCCGCGACCAAGAGATCAGCATCCACGAGCAGCTCGAGCTGGCCCGCCACTTCGGGCCGCTGCACAAGCACGCAACGACGCCTGTTCCCCGCGAGCCTGGGCTCGAGGAAGTGCACGGTGCGCCAGATCCGTGTCTCCACTCCCATCGCGGCAATAACAGCCGGCTGCAGTCGTCTACAACGATTCGTCGCGCCGGCCGGACTCGACCACGTTCTCGAAGCTCGAGCTGTGGCATTCGGATGTGTCATACGAGATCCAGCCGCCGAGCACGACCTCGCTCAAGGTGATCACCGGGCCCCCGTACGGCGGCGACACGCTCTGGAGCTCCGGGTGCGTCCGCGCACTTCTCGAGATGGCCGCGGGCAGCTGAGCGGCTTTCCCCTCCCCAGCTACGCGCTGTACTCCTCGTTCAGCCCGGGATTCCAGAAGTACCTCGAGGGCCTCTCGGCCGTGCACAGCGCGGTTGCGCAGGCGGACGGGTCGCGCGCGGCCGGGTTCACCGTGCGGCGCGAGCCCATCGAGACCGTGCACCCGGTCGTGCGCGTGCACCCCGCGACGGGGTGGAAGAGCGTCTACGTCAACCCGGGTACGCGCCCCCGCCGCCGACAGACTGATTACGCGCAGCGGACGTACTGACGGCGCCATCGCAGGCTTCACGCGCCGCATTGTCGGGCTGCCCAAGGCCGAGAGCGACGCGGTGCTCGATCTGCTCTTCCGCCAGATCAGGTGCGTCCGCCCGTCGTCCGTCCCCGCCTCCCCCCGCGCCGAGGGCTGATTTCATATCGATCCCGCCTATCGCCATCGATCAGCGAGAACCCGGACTTTCAGGTGCGCTTCCGCTGGGAACCCAACTCTATCGCGTTCTGGGACAACAGGGTGCGTCCTCCCCGTTCCTCCGCCGTCATCCGCCGGCCCTATCTCCGCCTCTGCCTCCGCCTCCGCCTCCGCCCCCGCCGGCCGAGCGGCCGGCCTCCCCACGCGCACCCGGTGCTGACTCGCTCACACAGGTCGTCACACACTCTGCGACGTTCGACTTTTGGCCGCACACGCGGCACGCGCTGCGGGCGACGCCGCACGGGGAGCGGCCGACGTCTGTGGCGGCGTACGAGCAGGGCGGGAAGGCGGCAAAGGACCGGCAGGTGGAAATCTGGGCGCGGGAAGGATTGGAGGTGCAGCAGGGGGCGAGCGGGGTGGGGAAGGTGCGCGGGTACAACGACTGAGTCTCTCTGGTGAGGACGAGGACGAGGACAGTGCGCATGGATCAATCTCCTCGAGAGATCGATCATCGTCGATCCTGTCATCTGTCACCGTGCGCGTGCGTGCGAGATAAGATCCCCCCCTCTCGATTCTGTGTCCTCCGGCATTAACACGTATTCAATTAAAATGTATCTACACGAGGCAGGCGAACGTCGGAGCGCTCCATTACCATTACATTTGCGGGACAATACGGGTTACGATCAAAATGACAATACGGGTTACGATCAAAATGACAATTATCGCGGGACAGACACGAGGCAAGGATTCCAGGAAACACGAGGACAGAAACGAACGCTCTCCCATCGAGCCCATTCTGGTCGGCTCACTGCGGAGACGCGCGCGCATGCGACGGAGGGTGCGACGTGCGCATATACGATTGGTGCTCCGACGCATACCCTGACCGGTTCGACGACGACGATCCAGAGGTCATCCAGGGCGGTGGGGGTACACTCACCACCGTCTGGCTCTCGCTATGACCTCCTGAAGCCGGAGGGGGTGGAGGCCCCATCATCTGGTGATGCGGCGGCTGTTGTGGTGCTGCCTGTGCGTGGCTCGAGCCCACTGGCATCAACTGGTACGGCCCAGGGTGCCCATGCGGTGCGTGTCCATTCGAATGGTGTGATGCGTGCATGGGCTGAGGGGGAGGCGCAGGCTGCTTTTGCTGTTCGTACGGAATGGACGCGACCGCCGTGGCCTGGTGGTGCACCTGTGGCTGCGGATGCGGAGGATGCTGATTCTGCATGTCCTGTTCTGCCCCGCGCGCAGACTGCGTCGACGCTCGCAGTGTCTGCAGGTCAATGGGCGCTGGCTTCCCGTCAGCACCCTTGTCTCGCTTCCTCATCAACTTGGCATAGTCTAGAACGACAATTCAGTCCAAATCAAACACCAACAGTGGAAAACACCCTTACGCAGGCCACACGCGTTACACAACGTCCGAGCACCATCGGGGCCACGCCGCCATTCTGGTGTTTCGCGGATGTTGCACGAGTGGCACTTTCCCGGGGGTGTGGCGCGCTATAGCAGCTCATCAGTGAATCTGAGACAATCTGACTCAAACAAGTCTCTTACGCTTCGCTTGCGGTATTTGCTCTTGGGCTGGCCCGGGGTTGCACCACCGGTGCTCGTCGCTCGCTTGCTCCGGATAATTTCCATGTCAGCCTCGGCCGTCGACTTGTCGTCCACGCCATTATATGAAACTTGGGGCTGTTGCTGAAACACAAAAAGAATCAATACAAGATCAAGACCCCATACACTGATCTTACATCCGGATAGGGTGCACTGGGAGCCGCGTTTCCTTCTTCTTCGCGAGACATGTCTTCCCAGGGGCGTTTAGGAGGGCGAGAATGTTCCTCAGACGCGTTGGAGGCAACAGGGGCATGACCAGCGTCTCTTGGAGCGGCGTCTTCAGAGGATGAGATCCGGCGGAGGTCCTCGAGCAGACGAACGACCGTGCCAGCACGCCAGCTCATCTCCTGCAGCTCATTAGGCGATGGCTGCACATGGGGCTGTGTGGTCTGCAACTGCGCTGCAAGTGGTCCGATCAGTGGCTGCTTACATGCGAGCGACATGGACAAAGGAGCGCGCTCACCGTAGTAATGCGCAAATTGGTGCAAGATCCGGCAGTGGTTATAGATCTGGAGCGCGACGTGAGTGGCATGAAACGTTACGCGTAACCTTCGAGCGTGCGTACCTCTGCTAGCGTAGATTGCCTTATGCTAGCCTTTTCTGCGTCACCCTGGGAGGGAGCAATGTCACTGCGCGGGCCGACAGGTGCCGGGGCAGGAGGCGCGGGGCGGGCATACTGCGGGTATTGATGCTGCGGCGGGGGCGGAGGCGGGGCCCAGTGCTCGGAGGACACGGGAGGAGGGTATGGGTGGGGAGGAACATGCTGCTGGGGCACGTGGTGGGGGGCGGCAGATGGGACGGGGTAGTGGCGAGGAGCCATGTGTGGAGGGGGGGGAGGATGAGGATAAGTCGGGTATCCCGGGGGCGGGTGGGGGTACG